TTCATGTACTTTCGTCGATTATTAATACATCCTAAATAGATCCCGCACTAAATAGTTAATCCTGTGAATGTTTTACAAATCTAAAAATAAAACCAAAACTAGATGGAAACTAATTACCAAATCGAACTAGAGTTTTTTTTTTGTTTATAGTATATCGTTTATTTAAATAGATATACAATGTACTGACAAAATCGGTAAATAACATATTAACCGACCTTATACCAACATAATTTGTAATTCTAAGAAACAATGGAAAAATAAAGATATAATTTGAGCAAATATAAACTTAGTATTGTCTTTTATTGACATAACCTTTACACATTTAAAGAAAAAACTTTTAAACCGGATTAAAGTTATGTATAAAGCTGTGATACTTTTTGACATCCAACACCTTTTGTCTTCAGTCACCGTGACCACGCACGCTGTAAAGCACGCGAAACGTCGGATAAATTTAAAACTATGTTAAATAATTGTAAATTTATAATAATACATAACTTTAATCCGGTTAAAAAGTTTTTTCTTTAAATATAAACTTATTTTATTAAAACTGGGGCTAAACGGGCAGGGTTCATCAGTTTTAAATTTTAGATAGTAATTATTCAAGAACACAGAATTCATGGAATGCATGCCTTATCAACTATTTCTATAAGTTCCTATATTATATACTATAAACCCTAAGGAAACTGACATTAGGTAAAATTAATGAATAAATATAATAACAGTAAGAACGAAAACCTACAACTGTAAATACTCTAAGTATTGGAAACCAATGTCAACAATTTGAAAGATCCCTTCAGTATTTTAATAGCTATAGACGTTCTCTGACCGAGAGCGATTGTAAATCTTGTCACCAGCAATTAACTCAAACATTACAGAATTGAGAACACTTTTGAACATGTGCGCTTAGAAATGTTATTTATTTGAGAAAATCGTTGACATTTAGTTCTGGGTTGTGGTAACCGTTATATATTAACTAGTCGATTCATTCAGAATGTTATTTTAAAATATAGAAGATGTATTTTTGTTTTTTAAATGCGTCAATGGAAGGTAGGGTACATGCTTGGCAACTTAAAATAAATAAAAGTAATTCAGTGGCACTACAACATTTTTAGGTCTGGGCCTCAAATTTCTGTATCTGTTTTATCAATCTAATAGGCAAGTAATCAGCCTCCTGAGCCTGACACACGTCGTCGACTTTTTGGATCTAAGGCAAGTCGGTTTCCTCGCGATGTTTTCCTTTACCGTTAGAATGTTAAATGCGCACATAGAAAGAAAGTCTATTGGTGCACAGCCTGGGTTCGAACCCACGACTTCAGGGATGAGAGTCACACGCTGAAGCCACTAGGCCAACACTGCTCTACTATCTCTTCGCAACACATTCAGTACAAAAAAACATGTATTTGATATAAATTCACGTGGCGCTATGAAAGAATACTCATTGTTTATTTCCCATACAGAATACATGAAAATAAACTTTTATTCATATAGGCGAACATACGGGCCTATGTGATCGTAAAATAAGCGGTTGGATTATGACTTTTAAATAAACTTATTAAAATTTTAGAATCTAAAGCAACCATTAACACTTAATGAACGATTCTGCTGGCTGAGAGGATTTAACGGTATCCCCAAATTACCATCGCATTATACAGCTAGGAACGTGCTCAGACTAAATATTTAGTTAAATTTTATCAAACTTTAGTCAAACAATTTGTCTTATCGACTTGAAGGAACTAATTTGAATTTGTAATGAAACTATCGTTATTTACTGCATAAATATTGAATGAAAAGCCAACGTTTTAATTCGATCTGCATCGCATCGATTTTAATTTTAATAGTTTCGATTAAATATTGCGGCAAGAATTCATATTTACTTTGAGTTTGTTTGGAAAGGATTAGACTATCTTTGTAGCCTTATAGAGTGTCTTAAGGGCTTACTGGTAATTGTTCGATTCTCGGCAAATAAAAATTTAAAGATACAGGCTGGCCACATTACGAGTATAAGAAAAATCTATCTGCTACTTGAATAGTTGAATGACAATCATAATATTGTATTCATGAATTGAAGGTCGCTACATTTTATAAATTTTATTTATGAACTATAACAGTCATATTGAAATATATATAGAAATTACATTAGCCAAATTGAATTTGAAATCTACAGAGGCATTACTAAATATCTTGGTATGATTTTGAGGTTTCAAAAACTAACACAGACACTTCACGATCATAACAACTTTCAGCTACACTCTCAAATACATGCGCATACACACCCATTCACACACTCACTCATTCACTCATTCTTAATTTGTAACACTAAATTATTATTATTTTTTTTTTCATTTTTTTATTATTATATTTTTTAAACTGTTTTAAACATGTACCACGTAATAATTGTTTTCTAGTTACCCACAACACAGGGCCTCCCTAGTGTGGGGACTAGCGATATATGAATTCTGTCATAAATAAAGTTTTTATTATTTTTATTTCACACATCTAACAAAGCAAGACAAAAATAGTAGCTGAAAGTATAACGAACAATTCTACCTATTAAAAAGTGCTTAATAAAAGGTAATATCATAAATTATGCGTTTACGGGATTAAGTTTAATATTTACTATATAAGATTACCTAATTAAAGTCTACGGCTTCACTGTACTTGTTTAAGTAAGTCGGTCAATAACATGCTTCCTGAAGGGATTAAATATCACAAATAAACACCAATTTCTATTTATATGCAAAGCACCGCTATTACACATACATAATTATGAGATATCTTGACATTTTAAGATTGAGTTAAAACTACAGAAAATATATAACATTCAATTGATAATGATCGTTTGATCAGATGACGACACAGAAGTTAGAACATGAAAAATACTAAAGTTATTACGTATATTATATATCTTTGTGCAGTGTTGGCCTAGTGGCTTCAGGTCTGGTCAGGCTGAGGTCGTAGTTTCGATCCCCGGCTGTGCACCAATGGACTCTTTTCCTATGTCCGCATTTAACATTCGCTCAAAGTCGACGGCGTGTGTCAGGCACTGGAGGCTGATCACCTACCTATTAGATTTAAAAATGATCATGAAACAGATTCAGAAATCTGAGACCAAGACCTAAAGAGGTTGTAGCGCCACTGATTTATTTTATTTATATATAAAAAACCTAGTGTTGTGTAGCATAGCAAAATGTTTCATACGTTGGTAGCTACTAAAAAGTAACAAAGTACTTCTAATCTCATAATATTTTTATACTAATTACCTCTCCTTTTTGCAGGTACACTCAAGAAAAGTCCCAGATGTAGGCCACGTTCCAGAAAAGCCTGAATTGACAGCATTCATAAAATACCATACGCTTTCGCATCCCAACTGGGCCATTTGACAGCTTCGTAGTAAGGCAAATATTGATCTAAGGATCTATAAACCTACTTAAGAGCGGGACCACCCATGCAATTTCGTAGAAGCTCTCGCAGACAGACAAACAAAACAACATGAATGATAGACGTCTATTTTAGTAGCGTTATTTCTAGAGTATGTAGGACATGTCTTATTTGCGTTATATCATAGCCTCTTATTCTAGTTATTTTATTTGTATGAGTTAAAACAGTCCTTTAAATTGATTCAGTGAATTTGTGAATTCAATAAATAAGGTAACAAAAAAGAGGCAAACGGGCAGGAGGCTCACCTGATGTTAAGTGATACCGCCCATGGACACTTACATTACCAGAAGTCTCACAAGTGCATTGCCGGCCTTTTAAGATGAAGCATAGTACGCTCTTTTCTTGAAGGACTCTTAGTCGGATTAGTTTATAAATATATACTTCAGTGGTCAGTGCAGCAGGTGGTTCCACATAGTGGTGGTCCGCAGAAATTGCCTTAAGAAACGCTCAGTTGTGGAAAGACGTCGAGGTGATACGGATGGTATTTTGTATTTTGCCTTGACATCATAATGAAACTCAGCTGCAGATATTAGTTCAAAAATTTTTCGCTAATGTATTGCTTATTTTTTATCATCTCCTTCTAATGAATAATTAATTTATTAAATGAATTAATATTACTCTTTAATTTCTTGTTCGCCGATGGTTAGAGAGAGTCACTATTAATAAATCGAAATCTAATTTTTTTTAGTATAAAACATTTTTTTATTGGAAGCTAAAATACACGTTACATTTTTAGGTGTAAATAAAATAATTGACTGTAATTGTCCTAACTTATTATCTTGGAACGTGATTTTATAGAACAGGGCGCGAATGGGCAGTATACTCTTCTGATGTTAAGTGATACCGTCGCCATTGATACACACTACCGCAAGGCTCGACAGATCGTTGATCTTAAGGCTTTAAATTTGACTAAGCCACATTTAGTAAATAATTCATATTAGTCATGGCGTGCGTATGAGAAAAGTATATAGGGTAATTCCGGGGGAGATGGCCCTAGTAACTATAAAACTGTATTATGAAGGAATTATGATGAATAAAACAGTGAATTCGTATGGAACATAAACTTTATTTATTATTCTTATCAAATATTAAAGATACATCACTTTAGACAACGCTAACAATATAATTTTAAACTTTAAAAAAAAACTAGGACTGTCCATCTCTTACCGAGTGCCCGGGGGAGATGGCCATAGTGTTCGGGGCGAGATGGCCAGTACTTTTTTTACCTTTCCCGTTACCCTTGAGATCTTTTAACTCCTTTTTTTTCTTATTGTCGCAGTGAGAACACATGTCATCAAACTTAGTCCAATTTTCGTGCACCCAGAGCATACAAATACTGCATTGTATCCAATCTTCAAATCTTCATTCTAGAAATATGTCAGAGGTAATATAGACGAATTTTTGTGACATATAAACCACTGAACCTGGAGCCAGCCCATCTTCAAATTCAGGTTTCTTCCTTTGCCCTTTCATAATGCAAGCAGGAGGTATAAAATTACCTTCAGCATTGCAGCAACCAATTACCGTGATCGTTTCTCCTTTTTCTGTAGACGTTGACATAGCTACCTATAAGCTTTGGAACCTTTTTCAGCCAAAACGTGACCTGGTCTATTATTTAGTTGCAATCCAGACTCGTCCATATTGTAAATATGGCCAAGTTTATTTATTAGGTCATTATCACTGAGAATCCTCTCAAGCATTTCAAAATAGGCATCAACTTCTGCTTTATTCATCCCTTGACTTCTAGCATATGACACCCCTTCTGATTTCCTTAATGAAATATCGGAATTCCTTTTTAAAAACATATGCATCCAATCATAGCCCGCCTTCTCAGGTTCTATGTTAAATCTGTGTTTATTTCCTAATTGCTCAGCAAACTTGAATGAAATTGTTCTTAAATCATCAATAGTCAAAGGAAAGCCTCTCAATTGCATGTCTTTTATATGCTTGCTCAGTCTTTTTTCGTTTTCTGTACCTAAGGTTAACGATGGTCCCATAGGTCCCTTTATGTAATTGTTTTGTTTCAACCTTCTTTCTAGTGTTTTTCTTGGAATATGATAGATAAAAGAGGCCCTATAAATCGTCATTCTCCACCACCACTTTGTACTTCTGCCATTGCAGTTTTTAAGTTTTCTTCGCTCCAGGCACCTCGTCCAGTAGCGGCTTTTCGTAAGTATTGGCATCTGTAGAAAATATTAAATATTAAAGATAAATTATACAACGCAGAGCGGTTCGAATCGTCGACGACCAATCCCTCTCCGAGCGGCTTGATCCTTTGGCGTTGCGTAGAGATGTGGGGTCACTCTGCATCTTCTACCGCATTTACCATGGAGAGTGTTCAGAGGAGTTGTTCGGATTAATACCTGCAGCTGAGTTTCATCATCGGACGTCGAGGCAGAATACGAAATTCCACCCGTATCACCTCGACGCCCGCCGTTCCACAACTGAGCGTTTTTCAAGGCAGTTTTTGCCGCGCACCACCACTATGTGGAACCAGCTGCCCACTGAAGTATTCCCGAACCAATTCGACTTAGGGTCCTTCAAGAAAAGAGCGTACCAATTCTTAAAAGGCCGGCAACGCACCCGCGAGCCCTCTGGCATTGAGAGTGTCCATGGGCGGCGGTATCACTTAACATCAGGTGAGCATCCTGCCGGTTTGCCCCCCGTTCTATAAAAAAAAAAAAAATTCAATCTGGGCATACAATTTTATGGCCATCTCTCCCGAAAATACTATGGCCATCTATCCCTATTGACCGGGTGAGATGGCCACAGGACGTAATAAAAGCAACATCTCAATTATGAAGTTAATTTTGAGGCTAGAACACGAGAAAGTTCTTTACTTCACGCAGATATCACGAAAACGTGCAAAACTGTCAAAACTTTTTTTTAACCACTTAATGTGTCAACCCCTTAGTTTAGATCTAACGTGTTAATGAAAAACAAAGTCAAATACTTACTTTTTCCTATTTTTTTTGCAAAACAATTCACTGTCACTTGTTGCCGGTGCCGACATGAATAGAAATAAATAAAAAGTATTGACATCTATGAATTAATACTCGAACTTTTTTGTATTGGCCATCTCTCCCGTACGGCCATCTCCCCCGGAATTACCCTATATATATATTTTTTTAGTACCTATTGATGGTTTAGATTTCAGTAATTCTTAGACCTTGTTAGAATCTATTATTCTTAAAATTAGAAACATTTACTATACTGTTATCACAGTAAAAAGAATTTGTAAAATGTAACGGCGATCTTCGCAACGGCGTTATCTTGAATGAAATGCGGCGGATGCAGTCACGGATAAAAACTAATAGATCAATGATAATGCAACTGTATCACGCAAAGGAACTGGTTAAATGTTTTTATTATGTTTCTTAGAAATACCGCTTTGATACATCCGTTAAAAATTATATTATTTAATTTAAATGTACTTACAATAACAGGCGATTCTTGTACTATTTTCTTAATCGCGCTTTTTCACATAAGGGAGCGTAAAAGTATTACGTAACGTAAATGGGGGGGGGGTCCTTTTTGTAAACCGTTACTATATGGGGCGGGGATTGAATTACGCGTTATTGTTAATATTATTTTCGCCTTTACAGTACTTTACACCACATAATGGTAACTTTTAGGTATAAAGAGTCACTAGGTGGTCACGAAACGTTTTTCTATACTTGGGTACAAAAAAACGTTACGGCGCGTTACATGGGGAGAGGTCAATAATCTCCAAAAACTGTGTGACGTAATACTTGAACGCTCCCTAATTCAAAACGTAATGCGTAATTTTTCCCTGCGTTACCTAACACGCCCTTTTTTACTAAAAGAAGTATTAAAAACTTTCGCTAAATTCTATTCCAAAAATTACGCACATAAATACGGAAGTTTACCTATAGTGTAAAGTACGAATAAAGGCAACGCACCCACTTACATAAGTGTACATGGGCTGCGGCAGCTGCCTTTTATGGCTGCTCCGTAGGTTTGTTTGCCTATCATATGAAAGAACACCATAAAGTATCAACTTTCTACTACCATATATTTCAAATAGCAAACACTTAAAAGATTTTTAAACTATTGCATAGATTTTATCGCGGGCTTTGAGCGCGGCGACCGAATCAAGAAATTCCGTAACGAATTAAAAACCTAACACACGATGACGTAATATACGTGCGGCCAATACACGTTAGAGCGGGACAGAACGTATACTGTGTATTCACATGTCTCTGACGAGGTCGGTGACGTAGCGTAAGCGCGACCGGTGCAGACGGTACGCTTTAGAGTGAGACAGACTATATATATATATATATATATATATATAATATTATAATTGCATAAGTTGATAAAAAATGATATAGCGAAGCTTTACCGCGGCAGTTCCCGAGTACCACACGATTTTTTTTTTTAGTTTACTCTCAAAGATCACACTTGTTAAAATGAGGACAATGACACACTTATGAAAATATGTTATAGAAAGAATATATACGTGTGAAAATGACATGAGAACTTAAAAAGGCGCAGCGCTAACCAGATCCATGCAACTTCCTCACAAAGTAGCTCACAATAACAGCACAACTCACGAGGAGACTCTTTGTACTGAATAAGTCGCAAATGTACGGAATAAACAAAATAATAATAGCAGATAACACAGCAATGTTTCTTAAACGATTCGTGTTGAAACATATTGTAACGAGTAAAATGATTAGTAACGGTTGTTTTAGGCACGTAACTAGCAAGTAGCAAGTTCTCACTTAACGCCACGCTAATTGGATAATTATCCTTGCGAATGTTACGCAAATTGTTCGCGATGAAAAACAGTTTTAAGAAAATTGCGTAGGCTAAAGATATTTTATGGCGCTTGTATCTATAATGGGTGGGTGGGTTTATTGACAAAACCTCATTCAAAACTATTAACAACTGATAAAGATTATAATAATTTGTTGAGAATGTTAATTCCGGTTTTTTATATAATTTAAATATTAACATAAATTGCTATTTTAGAAGCGATTGTGCATGATTCACCATTTTATTTTATTAGAATGAAATACTATCTATAGTATTGAACATGCGCAAAATAATGTAAAAATTACTAACATTTTTGCGCATAATGCTAAAAGCCCACAGACAATAAATTATTTCGTAGGTACATAGAGCCGATCTTGACATTATAAACCCAATTATTAAATAAATTGTTTTATATTCATAGTGCTGATATTGAAAGATTAAAATTTAAGTCGAAATCGCTATCGCTATTGGGAGGTGTACCTCTGGTCCACACCCGAGTTCAAACCCGTAGTGGGTTGAACACCGCACTCTTAACCACTAGGCAAACACCGCTCAGTCTAACATAAACTGTAAATTCGTTTCAGATCGAGAGTAATCGGTGCATGACAAACAAAAGTCATACGATTACCAAGTTTTATTTTACCTTTTAGCGTACTATAAAAACCCCGACAATTCTGTAAATAAACCTCTACGACCATTAATATTAACATGCCTGCAACGATCTCAGGCTAAATGCCAAGCAATTATGTGAAAAAGTAGCATTTCTGTCAATATATTTGCAAAACAATGAGTTGGTTACGGCAGATTAAAATTCCTTTCTGAGCGATTGTAAAAAGGCAGCAAAAACTGGGACTGATGCCAACAAGTTTCTGTTTGAAGACGAATCGACTGAATGCACTTATTGGGGGCAGCTTTGTGACATAAATGATGTAAGCTTTAGTCTAGGAGTCTGCTTAAAGTAACCTCAATTAAAAATAAGTTTTGATCCATTTCGTTTAATATTTAAGTTTTATCTCGCTTGGTAACAACTTACTTAAAATTTGGTGAATAATATGTAATTAAATTTTGTTTAAAACTCATACTAACTTAACTAATATTAAGGAATGTAAACTAACCAATATTGTTGTATGAATTAATAAAGCTTTAATAATAATAATGTAATTAAAAACTCACAACTAGTAGTATTTTAGAACAACAAGGGTGATATTTCGTATATTCATATCAAAGGAGGAAATTGTTTTAAATAATTTTGCTGCATTTCCGAAGTGTTGCCGATTACATAACAGAATCTATAAATAAGGTTGAAAGTGCCTTTTACCCTAGAATTAGAGTCGCCGTTTACATTCCCTTTTTCTTGAAATATACAATTTTTTTAAATTTTAGAAAAGGGGCAGACGGAGGTTCAACTGATTTTAATTGATACCGCTGCCTATGGACGGTCTCAATGCCAGAGGGCTTGCGAACGCGTTGACATCCTTTTAAGAATTGATACTAATAAAAATAACATACTATTGTTTACCCGACATATTTTTTAACTACGATCCGATTGTGCCTATTCCCTAGACTAACCTAATATACTAACCCGATATCAATGTTTTTAACAATTGTACTAAAACCATAGATATCGGATCTATCACTTTTGTATATAACAAGAAGATATACAAAATATGTTTTACTAATTAAATCATAAGTATTCACACCAGTATTACAATGTTATACAATTGTTTAGTATTTTTGGAGAAATAATAATTATCACTTGTCTCTAAGACTATATACAATAATGTAAATATTTTGACTCAAAAGAGCTTACGCGTTGCGTTATCACGCAGGCAGTTGCTTCAATATGCTATAACTGTTTATGGTCCATGCGCCTGCGCATCTGTCAATCACATATTTTATACTTCTCCGATTTATAATAAAGACTCGTATTGCGTATTCATCTATTGAACAGTAGCATTATCGCGTAGGAAGTGGACTTAATAAAGAAATTTTGAGCCATCTTTACAGTAAAATAAGCATGCTGTACATTTTCCGTAATTTAATTTAACTTGTATAAAATATTATTCATTTGGTAGTTATCTTACAGCTAACATACATATTATAAAACAAAACAATTAGACAATATACAAAGCCAAAACAGATTACATAGGTAAACAATATATATGAAACATAAAACATAAGTACATTAGTATACAAAAGAAAACTGAAATTTAATATTAAAAAAAAAAAATTACTGCTAAATAAAGTCAAAGTCTTCCCGCCTCTTCAAATATTTCCTCACATCTTCTTTGGTGAGGTGGAAAATATCAACATCATCATAGTTAGATAAAATCCGAAACATTGGCGAATTATGCAGGCAATTCGTGTTTACGAATTTTTTATTCATTATTTTTAATATTTG